TCTGTCAGGTTGGATGGGGGCAGATGCACATTTTCAGGTTTCTCCAGAAATATTTGATTGGGTTCAAGCTCAGGCTCTAGCTGGGCCACTCAAGGACATTCACAGAGTTATCTATATGCCACTCGTGCTGTGTGCTTAGGGTCATTGTCCTGCTGGAAGGTGAACATTCTGCCCAGTCTGAGGTTCTGAATGCTCTGGACTGGGTTTTCATTAAGGCTATCTCAATATTTTGGTGCATTGAGCTTGTCTTATACTCTGACGAATCTCAGACCCTGCCGCTGAAAAACAGCCCCACAGCATGAGGCTGCTACCAGCACACTTTACTTTTGGGATGCTACTCTGCAGCTGATGAGTGGAGCTGGTTTCCTTCAAACATGATGCTTAGAATTGAGATTCATCAGACCAGAGAATATTATTTCTCACAGTCTGAGGGTCCTATAGGTGCTTGTTTTTTTTTGTTGTTTTTTTCAAGTGGGTTTTGTGTGTCTTCACTGAGGAGAGGATTGAGTTTGGCTACACTGCCATACAGTCCAGAACGGTGGAGGGTTGCAGTGTGTTTGCCCTTCTGTAGATTTCTCCCATCTGCATATATGATCATGGAGCTCAACTAGAGTGACCATCAGCTTCTTGGTCACCAAAAATCTGTTTTTTGCTTTACCAATTTAGTGTATGGAGTGTAGATTGATGTGGAAAAAAAGTCATTTAAAGCAGTTTAACATAAGGCAGCAACATAACAAAACGTGAAAAAAATGAAGGGGTATGAATACTTTCGCAAGGCACTGTATATTAATTACAGTCCTCATCTCAGCAGGTGGCGGACATGCACTATAAGTTAGTTTGCCAGCCGCCGCTAAGACGAAAGAAGAACAGCGCAGAGCAGCAGAGGGCGTGTGATTTCTGTCTGTTGTCCTGTAGGCCAGAAGAACGCGTGCGTGTCGTGTGTCTGTGACAGCAGCAGCAGCAGCGGACTCGGCCTCGGCCTCCAGGGGCCCCGAGCTCTTCTATGGGTGTCTCAAACAGAAGGCTGCACACATTTAAATTCAGGAAAATAAACTGAAAGAAGGAGTCGGTACTGATCATCTGAATCTTAGGATGCAGCCTTCTGTTCGAGAAGCTCCTCGTGCTCGCTAAAAGTGATTAGAACCAGTTCAAAAAACGACTCGGAGGTTATGTTACGCTGGAACGGGCTTGTCCACATGTTTGAGCGCTGCACGACAGAACAGATCATGACGTCATCTTGAACTTATTTCCATCTACAATACTTATTTTTTTTTACATTTCTATCAGCCAATGATCATTCTAAAAGAAAAAGTCCCGAGTATAGATCAGTGACTGATTGACGGATAAACCGCGAGCTCTGTCAGTTAATGTTCTGGTGATTTTGCTTCAGTGTACAGTTTGTTAATATTGTGCAGAGCATACAGTCGAAGTAAACTTCATCATTCAGCTGAACTGCTTTCTACCACCCTTATCCTGCAGGCATGGTGAGATTATAGATTCCTTCAATCTAAAAACAAAGAAGAATCGAGAACAACAGTGAGGACTCGACTGCCCTAGCTTTCGTGCTCTACACTTCCACTGACACGAGACACGAGCGAGCTGAGAACTGCGGTAGCCGCGCTCTGCTGGACTTTCAGGTTGGTCTTTGTGCGCATGCGTCAGACCGCTGCGTCGCGTCACTGTTTATTCGCGACAGGAGCGTTGCGTTTTTTAAAGAGGTCGTGTAAAGTTAAAATTGGTTTCGAACTCATTTCGAAAATAAATTCGTTTCTTTCGTATTTTAACTGCGTTCGTGAACGGCTCCAATGGCCATAAATAATACGATTACTGTCTGAATTATGTATTTTTTATTTAGCTATGGGCACTTTTGCCACTCTTACTAGTTTAATTAGTCTACTAACAATTCTCAAAAATACAGTATGTGTAGATATATTACAGGACATTTTGTTTATTTTTCATAAACAGTCGACGTAATTTTCACCACAAATTATGTTTTAGGCTTAAAATATTAAGAAGAAAAAAAACTACCTTTTAAATAAGTGGTAACGCTTTACAATAGGATCGCATATGTTAACATTAGTTAATGCAGCATGAACCAGCAATATGTGACCCCCGACCACAAAACCAGTCATAAGGGTCTATCATCTGACAGCTGAATAAATAATCTTTCCATTGATGTATGGTTTGTTATGATAGGACAATATTTGGCTGAGATACAACTATTTGAAAATCTGGAATCTGAGGGTGCAAAAAAATCTAAATATTGAGAAAATCATCTTTAAAGTTGTCCAAATGAAGCTCTTAGCAATGCATATTACTAATCAGAAATTAAGTTCTGATATATTTACGGTAGGAAGTTTACAAAATATCTTCATGGAACATGATCTTTACTTAATATCATAATGATTTTTGGCATAAAAGAAAAATGTATAATTTTGACCCATACAATGTATTGTTGGCTATTGCTACAAATATACCCCAGCGACTTAACACTGCTTTTGTGCTGCAGGGTCACATGTTTTTTGGGTTAAAAAGTGAAGTAAAAGTCTGAAATAACTATATTTATGTACTATAGGACCAATAACAAATAAAGCTTCTAAAAGATTTTTGTTTTTGAAAATCTTTCCAAATGAATGTTATGCATATTTTTGAGTTGGGAATAATGTTTAAACAAGTTACATTTGTTAAATAACATTTCAAAGTGTTTAATTTCAGTTTTTTAACTTTACCACCAAAAAAACAACAAAATGTCAGGTGGTGCGACCAAATATTTGTACATTATATTTATATTCCTAATTTTATTTCTAAGTGAAATCTGAGCAAAGTTACCCTTAGAGTATCTACGGTTATATTTTGTAGCTGTGTATTTGATTCATATTCATTTAGAATTATTGCATAATAATGGCTGGGTATTTAGTCATTTCAGCATCTGATTTTATTCAAATTAAGAATTTACACGGTTGCTTTTTTTTTTTCATTTCAATTACATATAAAAATACAAATGCAAGTGTTTGATCAGCAGTCTTTGTTGAAGTAGTGAACTGCTCAAAAATGTAAGAACGAGTGCAATAGATTGATTAGACACAACGTAATCAATTGTGATTGAATAACAACAGTTATGTTTCATATTGATACAAAAAAAATAAAAAATCACCAGCTTAAGTATGCTGCAGCGTGAAACACTCTTGTTTCTTCTGACACGCGTGTGTTCTCTGTAACAGGATCTGAGTGTGCTTCTGAAGAGCTGATTTTCCTGCTCGGTCTGGATGCCTTCAGCATCATGTGGTTGTGAAGCACCTGTCTGGAAATGTACAGCATATTTGTGTTGAATGTAAACAAGGATTAGTTTGAAGAGGAGAGGCCAGACATGACAGCTTTTCATCTGCACCAGCTACTTTTTCTGTAAATAACATATCTGGACATTCATTTAAACAATTACATGTCTCTCTCTCTATTTCTGCCTCTGTATATAGTGCATTATGTAATTTTCTGTTTTTCTTATATTAGTGTTATGTTCCATCTCTACGGTGTGTGTCTGCACTATGTCTGTACTTTCTTCTGCACTGGAAGCTCCTGGCATCAAGACAAACTCATTGTGTGGTAAACATACCCGACTTCTCATTTTGTTTGGTCTGGGGATAATTAAATGATCAGGATGGTGATTTCTTCAAAGTGAGTTTTTCAGCGCTAGGACAGAAATGTCAGCCTGCATCATCAGTTCTCAACTAACGTTATTACAGAAGGATTGGTTTGTATAACTTTTACTTGCTAATTAGCTGCCCAAGCTGTAGATAAGATCAGCGAAGTTGAAAATGTAAAAACCAGGCACCGTCAGATCAGTTCTATTCATTTAAACTCGGTTGTAAATAAACCGAATAGGCTGAACTTGCTTCTGTTGAGAACTGTTTTGATGATGAGAAAGCGTGGATGTGTTTGTGGGCGGGGCGTGTGGGTGGCCCCGCCCACCGGCTGTGCATTATAAATGAGCTCCGCTGTCGGCGGCGGCGAGGCTCCGTGTGAAACGCGCGGAATGGGCTCAACATGGCGGAAACTCTAGCGCTTAGCCCGGTTCTTACCGTCTCTCGGTCCCGCTGCAGAGCAAGTTTCTTCTAAAGTTTCCCAGAGGAGTTCTTCTGGAAGAGACCGTTAAGCTGCGGTGAAGATGAACGGCGCAGGTAAGCGGCAGTTTGGAGTCTGCTGAGTGGAAGCCCGCCACTCGATACAAAACAAACGGTCTTTACATCTCGCATTTCTGACTTTTGTGTGACATGAACTCGCATTTCTGAGAAGTGAAGTCGGAATCGCGTGATATGAACTCACAATAACTGAAAATTGAGTGTTCACTATTGTCCTTTTGCATTGTTGACGCTATTTTCCTGCTTGATACTGTAAAGCTGCTTGAACACAATCGGTTTTGTCAAAAACGCTATATAAATAAAGGTGCCTTCGCTTCACAATTGTGTTATAAAGTCAGAATTGCGTGGTATAAACTCGCAATTGTGAAAAATAAACCGTAATAAACTACGAAATTTTACCGTACATTTCTGCTATATGGACATCAACTCGAGATAGTCACCACTAATAAGCTACTAAATATAATCTAGAAACTTTAATTTTCTGTAAATCTGCTTTGCGACGATTTGCTTTGTGAAACGCGCTATACAGATAAACCTGAATTGAATTGAAATAAAGTCACAATTGTGAGATCTAAACTCGCAATTCTGAGAACATGTCAGTTTTTTTTTATCTCCTCAGAAATGGACTTTATAACTTGCAATTGCGAGTATATCTCAATTCTGAGGAAAATGTCCAAATTCTGAATTTATTTCTCGTAATTATAAGCATATCTCACAATTCTGAGGAAAAAGTCAGAGTTGTGAGATGTAAACTCTCGATTACCGCTGTATTTATTCAGTGGTGTAGACATGCTGATTTGTGACGCACTGTGAGTGTAATGCTGGTGTATAGAGGTGCAGCTAGAGGCTGTGTGTTGTTTCAGAGCTCCAGGCCCCTGCAGCCCTGCCCTCAGATCACCTGCTGCGCTCCGGAGCGGTCATATTCCCCGGTAAGAGCCGCTGCGGTCACTCGCCCGCTGCTGTGTGTGGGCTCGCTCTGATGGAGCTCTGTGTCCGCAGGTGCCTTTGACCAGCACGGCTGTCCTCTGGTGGTGTTTCCAGCTGAGGCTCAGGGTAAACTCCCAGAGGAGCTCAGCAGAGAGGAGCTGTCCCACTTCATACACTACTGTCTGCGCCTGCACAAGTATGACACACTCCGCTTTCACTCCGTCTAAACGTGTGGCGTAAGAAAACAGAAGTCTTGAAGAATCTGCAAGCTGCTTTTTTCCATATAATGGTGCCGATTCATGCTGCCGAGCTCCCTAAAGGACACAAGGCATGTAAATAGCAAGTCTGTTTGTCCCATTAGCTCTCTAAAATAGTTTACAACATGCGCGAGTATCAATCGTTTTTAGCGTCATAAACATCAAACCTGTTTTTGTTTTGTTTTTTGTTTTTTTTATGCAGCTTTGTGTAGGACCAAGTAGATGCGTTTATTTATTAATGGGAATGAATTTGGCATTACATCACTTGCTCACAAATCAATCTTCTGCAGTGAATCCAAACAGCTGATAAAATTTTCACTGGAGGAAGCGTTATTATGGATTATGGACTATGGTATTTGATTTAAAGGGGTCATATGATATGAAGGATCATTATTTTGTGTATTTGGTGTAACAGAATATGTTGACATGCTTTAATGTTAAAAAAAATACATTATTTTTCAAATACTGTACATTATTGTAGGTCCTCTATGCCCCGC